TACTTGTGGAAACACTGCCTAAGAACAAGCCAGTGGTAGCATGAGAAATGAAACCAACACAGTTGCAAATCTGGGAATGTTTTAATACCCACCTAGGCTTGCAAGGTTGCATAAAGCCAACAGGTTGACACGGACAAGTGGCTCACTGTCTGGGTAATCAGTTAATATCCTGACCAGTGATGTGATCACTCCTGCCTTCACCAGCTGCTCCTGAAGGTCACCTGGAAATCAAACGCATAGAAATGAAAGGCAACAGGAATTTCATCTTGGATTAATCCATTGTTATACTAACTAGGGCATGGAGGAGGCATCCCTAAAGTAAGAGTTAAAACAAAACGTTGCTACAAGATACAGACTAGAAATAAGGTACAAATTTTAACTGAAGGTAGTTAACCATAGGAACAATTTGGGTTGTGGTGGATAATCTATCACTGGAAATAATAAATTTAAGATTTTAATTATTTTTAAATGCTCTAGTTAAACAGGAATTAATTCAGGGAGATCAAACTTTGATCACACTAGTCCATCCATTCTGGCCTTCTATCACATGATCTTGACTCCATTATCCTTCCAAACTAAGTTTTACCTTGCAAATTCAGGTTAATATAGATCCAAATAGAAGTTCTGGATGTGGACGGAACAAAGAATTGGGGTCAAGAATCCTGCTGTGAAATTACAAGACCAAAACTAACAGGAGTACTTGTGGAGTACTCCTGTTCTTTTTGCAGATACAGATTAACACGGCTGCTACTCTAAAGACCAAACCTGCATCCCTAAAATCTACCCTCATGGTAAAACTGTTTTTTGGGAGCTGAGCAGGTAAGCCATTATACAAGAGGTGTTAAGGCAATTGTAGTGGGAATGAGCATGTCAGAGATGATACAACAGCCTAACATAGGAGACGACTAAAATGAGGTTTTGCAGTGCTTTAAGGAATCATTAAATTGAATGCTTACCTCATTGCAGGTAGTGTCAATAGCCCTAAAGTGTGGTGCAGGTAGGGAAGTCTGTAGCAGCACAAGATTCAGAACAAACTCCTCCAGACCATTATAGAATGTCTGAGCTTCTGTATAACACAGGCTGTAGAACATCCTCAAAATAATTCCTAGAGCATCTTGTAGCAAAACATCCAATCTTCAATTTAAAATGGTCAGTGCTGTAGAATCCACCACAACTCTTGTGTGATGGGGTATCTGCCCCACATTGGCATGTAGGGAGGCTGCACAGGGAAGCAGCCAATAAGAGGTTGTGAGGAGCAGCTTATATAAGAAAAGCTGCAGAGCAGCGCAGAGTTAGTAGCTGCCTAGAGCTCAAGGAGGGAAGTTTGTGCTCCTAGCAAGAGGAAGGCTAGTACTTTGGATAGAGAGCAGTGTCTGAAGGCCCTGAGGTGAGGTGCTGGGGCACCAAGGGAAAGAGGCTGAAGGAAGCATAGCAGTCATAGGGGAGTTAAGGAGACACACAATGTGGCTATCATCAACAGGGTACCTAGGCTGGGACCTGGAGTAGTGGGTAGGCCTGGGTCCTTGCACTGGAAATGGCTGGACAGTTGGACTGCAGTACTAACCCACAAAAGTGGGGAGCACAGATGGTTTCATGACACAGCCCTCTGGCCATGTCATGAAGAGGATGCCACAGTACCTGGAGAGACATGGGTCAGAGAGCAGATGTGACTGTGGGCAAGGCACCCTAGGGAGAGGGTGTACTGCCCTAAAGAGCTCATCTCCAAGACTGCAAGAAGGCAGCACTGTCATGGTGAGTCACACCCCATCATACCTTGGTAAATTGTCCTAACGGATAATTACCTGCACTGTTAAAAATGTATGCCTGGCCCTCATGTAGGTATATGGGAGGGGGAATAGGCAGAATCTTAGGTAGATCCCTTAGTGTCTCAGTCAGTAAAAATGACCTGGAGCATCAGATGTAGAGGTGGTGCAGATTACTTTACCCACTGGAGCAGGATGAGAACTAGCAACCATACTGTGACTGATTCATAGTCTAGATCCAGGTGTGCTCCTGGGGCAGTGGAACCCTGTATCTTACGTGCAGTTTGTGACTCTGCCAAAACTTAGCTCTTTGCATTCTAGAATAATTGTGGTTGTTTCTGAGAAGATGTCTTTATGGAAAGATAAAGGTTCTAAACATGTACCATTACAGTATGTTCTATTGAAGGAAGACCACATTATGCTTTCATATTGCTTTAACAGCTGTTATCTTTCAGATAGAGAGGTAATCTGTGTTGTTCCAGTGCCAAAGAGTCTCAGGACATATAACAGCACTTTAGCACCTAGCTCGGTACAGTGTTTTTAGGTCTTAGAAGCCAGATCCTCAGCTGGTATATGTCAGCATAGCTCCACTGAAGTCAATGGAGCGGCATCAGTTTACAAGAGGTGGGAATCTGGTTCTAAATATACACAGTTTATTTTCCCTCTTATTTATGGGATTTCTGACAGACTCAGATAATTGTAGCTATTCCACACCTGAAGCACCCAATCTGCCTTATTACCTACAATATTTTAATTCCCAACATGTTGCATTCTGATTGGGGTTTCATCAAAATAAACCCCTGATGCCACAATATATGCCCAGATTTTTCCCTATGGCAAATTTTCCTAACAGTGAAAGAGCACTGCTTTTATAAACTGTTACCATGAGAGGCAGTGCAGCACAGTAGGCAAAGCAATGGACTGGGAATCAGAAGACCTGAGTTCTTGCTACTGATTTCCTGTGCGATCTATATCAAGTCAGTTATCTCAGTTTCCCTTCTTCCCTTTGTCTTGTCTATTTGTCTAACCTCTTTGGGGCAGGAAGTGTCTCTTGTTTACATATACAATGCTTAGCAGAATGGGGCCCTGATCTCAGTTGGGGTCTCTAGGCACTATTGTAATACAAATTGCAATTTAGTAAGAAGCAGTTTAATAAAGCATGCTGTTCTTAAGTGAAAGCTATTTAAATGATTTGGCTGGGGGGTTGGTATTAACTTACTGTAATTACAATGAATAAAAGTTATTCAAAAGTGAATCTAACCCCTTATAGTCTCCTTGTTGTCAAAACCATGCTGCGTTTGCTGGTATGGCTATTGTAGAAGCAATTGGAAACTGAACTAGCACCAAGGGTGTATAGCACTACATATAAAGAACGTTAACCTCAGTCTAAGTAGAAAGCCCATGTGTTTTTTTTAAAAGACACCCTTACTACTGTAGCCAGAATGTACAGCACTCCTTCAGCAAATTGAGTACTTACTGTTTTCATAGCAGATGCGGCCAATGGCCCTCCCAGCATGAAGCAACGTCTCTTGGTCCGTGCTCTCCAGCAGAGGTACCAAAGCTAGAACCAAACCTGCTTCGATACATGGCTTCTTCATTTCCTCTACACAGACAGAGGAGAGAAGCTGCTAGGACCTTGCCTTATTGAAATAAAACCAATACATCAACTGCAAGGCCAATAATTAGCATCCATAGAACAGATAAGTGGATTGAAAGTAAACAGGAATAATGGATTTAACATTTATAGGAACACTTTACGTACCATTCTTTGCTATCTCTGCAATCACCTGGGCTGCCTTTACTGCACAGCTTGGATTGCCTTTGAGAATTTGAGCTAAAGTTGGGAAAATCCCACTGTTTGTGAGTAGGCTGGAGGATCTTTGCTCTGCAATGATAGAGAGTGTTAACAGTAATGGCAATGAATTTGCTTTATTCACTGTATCTGCCTTCATGGTTTCTGCAGAGGTCTAGGCAGTGTTGGAATCAAGGTCCTGATTCAGCAAGGTACTTAAGCGCCTGCCTAACTTTAAGCATATGCAGTCACTGGGACTACTAATTTGTTCAAAATCAGGTAAGTGCTTAAGAACCTTGCTGAAGGGGCCTTGTGTGTCAGACCTTAGAGGGAAACATTTCCATCTTCGCCGACTGAGAAATGAACTGTGGATGGTATCTGGCCTGTCACCCAGCAGCTGCTCCTAGCAATTAGGACTGTCATCATACAGCTACCCCACAATAGGAATTCCTGCTGTCTCATCAAGTCTAATTGTCATCAGGCCACTGAGTCTTCTGAAGGATGGATATATAAACAAACACCGGCTGGCGTCAGCTGGGAGAGTGGTGGGAGGGGGAAGGCTGGTCTTTTGACAAAGAGCTGTAAGAAATACTACTCTTTCCTGCTTGAGTACTGGCTGATAGTCTTTTTATGCTTTGACACAGGCTGAAGGAGGCTAAAACTTCAATAGGAAAAAGTGGGACTACACCTGGTCATAATTTTTCCTAGTGTAATAGGTTGCCTTATTCTCTAGTCGGTCACACATACCTTCCATCATGAAAAGACAACTTCCTTCATATGCTATCCTGGAATAATTCCATGTTGTACGTAGATTTTTTTTTAAGTTTATTTATTACTACCTGCTTTTACAAACAAACAAACCCCAACCCAGGTAAATAGGCCATTATCATACACAAGTGACATTTGAAGACTGAAATCATGCTAGGCATTTCTAAACATATTACTTTGCTTGAACTACAATGTAACACAGCTGCTCTTAGCTCTGTGATGACAGGCATATCACTATCATGGTGTTTGTGATTCAACTCTTTTACTCTTAAGAGACTTCCTACTGTTGCTTTAAAAATCTAAAGTGATTTACTTGTTTCTTTTCCTCAGTATCCAGAAACATGTAATCTGAGGGTTTTTTTGGATATGTTTTCTAAAAACACAATTTCTTCTAATGAAACTCTGTAACTAAACTACATACACTATAATAAGTAAAACTAACATGTTTGTAAAAAGTTGCAAATAAGCTAAATATTACTGCGAACACAGCTAACAAGATTTCCTTCTTAGATTAAGAATAAGATTACAAGAGGTTTGTGTACAAAACTCAGCACAACTTTAAATATTGAGCTGCAATCAGCATTTGCATAATATTTTTGATTGAGGAATTTGGTGCCAAAGTACATGCCTGTGCTGACAGGTGCAAGCTTCCCCAGCAATACTGTTCTAATATACTGAATCCTTAAGTATGACATTCTATTTTTTCCAGTCCTGTGCCCAGTGTGCAGAAAATACCACCTGTGCCAGATTATGCAAATCTTTGTTATGCAGAAAAATCACCGAGAAAAATCTCTCGTGCATTACTAACAGCGATGAGTCCAGTCCTTTTACTTGTGGACAAGTAAGGAAGATGTCTGGCAGTACTGGGCAAGATCCACTCCAGGACAGAGGGATCCTTGCATGCCACCGAGTAGGCATAAGAGCTCTTATGTCATCCCCTCTGCAGGTGGGGGAGAGGGTACAAGAATAGTTGAAATCTACTTGAAACATTTATTCTTGAGGTTCCTCAGGGGTCAATGTCTGAAATAAATTAAATGAGGAGGTAGGATAAAGTTCTGAAAATATGATTAGTGGGTTTCTTTCTAGGGCTGTCAAATGCAAGTGTATTGCACAGAGCCTAACCTTCAAATGCAGGCCACATTGCCATGGCAACTGAATAAATCCCCGAGCTCTGAAGGAGAGGCAATAGTGCTGAGCAAATGCTGACAGGTAAAACCAACCCACCACCACCTCAGCAAAAAGTAAGTGAAGCTGCAAGTAATAAGAAATTAGGCCCCAGACAGGCCTATTTACTGAATCTTCAAAGGTGCATGGTTTTATTTTATTTTATTTTTGCAAGCAACATACTTGGGAGAAGCAAAGGGCTCTGGGGATAGGTTGGGACTGCCAGACCTTTCTACACAGCATCCTCTGGAAACACTAATAGGCTGACAATGCTTCAGAGAATGGAAAGCGAGATCTAGCCTGTATGGTACAGATGACTGTCACTGTCTGCAGCTTTAATATTTAAACCCATGGTGAATGAGTGTGAGCTGACCCCTTGATAATAATGAAAGAACAGCATTTCCCTGATGTCCAGTAGAAAGGCAGCTTGAAATTAGGTTGGCTTTTGTAACATTCCTCCTATCTGCAACAGCCTAGTGTTTTCATCTTTTCTGTCTCCTCATCTTTTCTTGGGGGGGGGGGGGGGGGGGAGCCTGAAAAGTGGGGGTGAGTAGATGGTGTGATTTGCAAATTGTTTGTGAATAAAAGTGGCATGTTTGATTTGTAGACCTCAAAGTTAAACACCTTGAATGGCAATGGTTCATAACCCTGAAATGTTCATAACTCTGAACAAAACATTACAACTGAACATGGACTTAAATACAGCTTTGAAACTTTGCTATCCAGAAGAAAAAGTGCTTTTTTTTAGTAATTTACATTTAACACAGTACTGTATGTTGGGGGAGGGGGGGGGATTTGGTCTTTGCTGCTGCCTGATTGTGGTGTTCCAGTTCCAAATGAGGTTTGTGACTGACTGGTTAGTTCATAACTCCAGTGTATGTAACTCTGAAGTTCTACTGTAATATTCATTTTGTGATTATTTGGATAAGCATGGTTTATTCCTGAAGATGGTCACAAATCCAAACTATTTCTGGAATTTTAGCACATGTTTATTCATATGAAAATTCCTAGCAGAAATTTGTTCATTTTCCTGTTTAAGTGAATTCACAAATCCAATCAGGGAGCAAAAATAACTTGACAAATGACCAACCACATACCATGGACAATGAGGAACAGAATGGAAGTGTACAATGTGATCAAACTGTAGACTGAAGTTTGTTACAGTAGTAACAGAACTTCCAACTTTGTAAAGTTGAATGCAGTGCTTCCTAAGTGAAAAGTAGATACTATGTCACTATTAGTGTATCAGCTTGTAGAAGAAGAAATTTGTATGACTTCTTTATTAAAATAAGTCCAATGAGTGTAGACTTCAGATTTATTAAGGCTGCAGTTAGTTTTCTAGCCATAAACCTTTAATCACAGTCCAGTATTTTAATTCCTCTCTAAATGTATAACTTAGACCAGTACTTTATCATATGTTAGTTGTAATCTATTGGGGAAAGTCACCAAAAGATGATTTTAGGATTCAGGCATATTTTAGGTAAGAAATTAAACCTGGAGTTTCTTTGCCCCTTCAGATTTTTTTGAACAGTATATTTGTCTGCTCAGTCAGACTTGGAGACTCCCAGAGTTTTACATTGCTCAAATGATTGATTTAAATGGAACAGGGAACGGGCCAGCAGCTTCAATACAAGTCTCTTCATATCATCTTAACTACACTGTAGCTAATGGCTATAGTTTGGAATCGGCAGATATAATTCCCTTTTGTAAATCTCAGCCTAGGAGGGAATGTAGTTTGTTTTAAGGCTATCCCAATTATTTCTCTTCTGCTTAAACCCTCCCAGCTCTGATTTACTCTTAAGGTTCTACAGTTGTCAGTCTTCCAATAAAGAACTTCAGTTCAAGCAACTGGCTTGCAATTCGTTAGTCTCAAGTACCTTTTGAGGACTAATAGGAAATTTCCACTGAAGCTAAATAATCAAGGCTGGATCATCCCCTCCATTGACAGATCTCAGCAGCAGCCCTCAAATATCTCCCCACACAATGCCCTTGGTACCCCCTAGAAACCCATCTGCTGGAGCTCCATGGGGTTATGCTGGTGTAGAAACCATGAAGGGTTAGGAATTTATGGGCCCATTAGCTAGGAGCTGGATATTGTTTTTAATATTGCTGCCTTAAAGCACTCGCCTGGTAGAGTAGGACAAATTAATCAGTTAGCCTGTTTGCAGCAGAAACTTCCCACTCCCTAAAACAGCAGCAAACAGGGATTTTAGGAGTGATCTCTTTATCTAATAGATATAGTCATGATAGGTAACAAGTCCTCAGGAAGTCTGCTGGTGTGGCTAGGCAATGAAAAATGGTTCGGATTGATACTTAACTGTCTTCGGCCAGAGCCAGAAGAATCCCATTTAAACTTTCAAGGATCTGACCTTCAGTTTCATCTCCAAAGATTTTGAGACATTCCAGGTGTTGATTTAGGGACTCTGTTTAAAGAGGAAACAGATTTTAACAGATCTCCATGACGCCATTTCATGAAGGGTCTAGGCACTCTTAAGCACAGTCACAAGAAGACATATTGCATCGAAAAGAGTGGCCCAAATCTATCTTTGTCCCAGATCTCAGATAACGGAATTTCTATGAAATGTCTGAGGTGGAAAGGCACTCTTGGTAGTGTAGGCATAGATCTTGCTGGGCATTAGTAAGCTTGCCTAACCTTTGAAGGTAAGGTTAGACTGTAAACAAGAGTGTGACAAGCTGTGTGCTGAAGAGAATATTTCTGGGCTCGCCAAGATAAGCCAGAACACACTGAACTGATAAGTGAAGTGTAGATAAGGTGAGAACATAAGTGATGGAGCATGTAAGGACCAATACAGTGTCCAAACCAATTACATTCAAGTAGTATAGATGTTAGTAGGTAGGAAAAGTGTACATAAACTGTGTAGTCTGTGATATGATTTGGAATTGTAGTATCAACTATACCTAAATCCCCAGTGTCTGGGCCTGCCAAGTGTGGGCATAGAGCTGTTACTTGGCTAATTTGCAAACTGGACACAATTAACTTAGGCTTGAATAAAGACTGTAACGACACATCCACTCCCAAAGTAAAACTATTTCCCCATATTTATTCTCTTCCCCCTCCCCCACTGTTCCTCACATGTTTTTGTGAACTGCTGGCAATGGCCCACCTTGATTATCACTACAAAAGGTTTTTTCCTCTCTCCTGCTGGTAATAGCTTACCTTACCTGCTCTCTCTCATTGCAGTGTGTGTATGGTAACACCCATTGTTTCATGTTCTCTGTGTATATAAAATCTCCCCATTGTATTTTCTACTGCATGCATCCGATGAAGTGAGCTGTAGCTCACAAAAGCTGATGCTCAAACACATTTGTTAGTCTAAGGTGCCACAGGTCCTCCTTTTCTTTTGGCTAATCAAGTAACCTGAGCGATGAGCTGGAACTGAACTGAATTGTTGGATCCCAGAGAACTGGCAACATGTTCTGGATCAGTTGAGTGGAAAAGGTCTGAGGGAATCCCAACTGGTATTACAGACATATTAATTAGTGAGCTCCTTTTGTCTTACTTGAGTTCAGAATTCCCGTATCAGCTAGGGCCACAACTAGCAGTTGCACAGGAGTACAGTTTACCAAGGTCAAGTATACAAGAAAATACTGCTTTGCATAGATATGCAGCTATATATATATATATATACATACATACACACACACACAAATTTGCCCCACTGTACTGTGTTTTTTTTTAAATAAAAAGTACTTTGAAAAGTGCTGAGAAAGAAAAATGACTAGACAGAGGGGCAAAACATCAGAACTGTCTTTCCCCCCAAGCACCTCTTCCTCCTCTGCAGACATGACCTTTGGTAGTAGAATAAAATGAGACCCTGACCAATTCACTCATGGTTTCAGTTTAATAAAACGTTCATGCATCTGAGGAAATTTGGCAGAACCAATAACAAGTAGCTCAGGTGTTGCCCATTCCTAGAAGGGATTAAAGAGGACGCACACATTTTTAGACTTTTTGGGGGGGGGGGGGGAGGGGAGTATGTTATATTTGGTTTTGGATGAACAGTGATGGGGAAGAGAAGATTTTGAAACAAGGATCTGTACTTTTAAGAAAATCATTCAAGCTTCTTTAAGTGTGAGTGATTACTCTGATCTATATTTCCAGTAACCCACAACGAATGTATACCACTCCCAGTCATGTTGGTGTGGTGTTTGATGATTTATGGCCTGAGTTCGTGGGATGTAGACTACAGAAATTACATTGAAGTGTGCTGAGCCTTTGTTGTCGCAGCTGCAATAAAACAATTTTTACTCCACAAACTGGTCACTAAGAAGTTTGTTTTTCCATAAAAACACTTGCAAAGACTCACCCCAGAAAATTTTTTGCATTTTCCTAGTAGTGATAATTCATCATTCCCATTTTTGGTGTTGTAGTGACGCTCGTGACATTTTTGCTATTTTCTCTCTCTGGGTATGTCGATTAAGTGAGGCGAGTTTTTCTAAATGCTGGTGTGCATACTGTGCGGGAGCTGTTTTTCTCCAGCAAAATCACTGGTGTCTTGTGCTGTTTGTTTTTAAAGGGAGTGGAGCAATATTGAAGGTTATTATTGCCTATGGGGCAAAAGTTGTTTTTGGTTGAAATGGAAAAAAGCAATTAGACTCGGACTTTAAGGCTAGAAGGGACCATTGTGATCTTCTAGTGTGACTTCCTGCACGTTACAGGCCACAGAACCTCCCCCCCTCCCCCACCCGTAATAGACCCCCTAACCTCTGGCTCAGTTACTGAAGTCCTCAAATAATGGTGTGAAGACTTCAAGTTACAGAGAATCCGTGACTTTAGTTTAAAACAACAAGTGAGCCAGGCATAATACTGTAGAGGAAGGCAAAAAACCCCAGGGCCTCTGCAAATCTGGCCTGGGGGGAAAATTCCTTCCCAACCCCAACTATGGTGATCAGTTGAACCCAGAACATGTCAGCAGGACCCATCAGCCAGATATCTGGGAAAGAATTCTCTAGATAGGTAGGTCTCTGAGTTACTACAGTGTGCCATTTCTGGCCACTGGAGATTTTTGCTACCAGCAGTTACAGATGGGCCACACGCCATTGTAGGCAATCATAC